CCATCACTGTTCTTTGTTTAATGTAAGAAGCTGCTGTTCTCTATCTGTTGGTTACAAAACACCAGCACACAGTAACTGTGCTGTTCCTTCTGCTCTTGTCTGACTACTCCACGGAGCTTACTGTGAAACGCCTCTTCCAGCCAAGAGACTGATGTTTTACCAACTGGTCGCTTATTTAGTCGGCCTCATTTTGCCATCTGTTGAAGCAGATGTTCTCAACCTGGGTACAGCTGTTTGAGAATGGCGGACCTTATGGTTGTTTGCAAACCACTGTAGATGTTTGATCAAATACAGTTTACTCCATTTATGCACCCTTCAGCAACACATGTAAGCCCATGGCCATGGGGTAGATTTTGTGAGGGAATATGTTTTAAGGGTTCTTTATATCATGATATTGTTACTACTTGGACTAAAATTTGGGATAAAAGCACAGCCATATACACCAGTCAGAGCTAGGGACTCAGGAGATTGGCGCTCCCAGAAGTGGTTATCCTCTTTTACAGCTATGTATTGGTTTTTCCAATTTTGTTTAACAGTAGTGCTTTAATATGTGAAAAGACATGTCTGAGTATCCCACAAACAACCATGCAGATTTCTCTGACTTCCTGACCTGTAGATGCAATGTCTAGAGCTGGATTGTCAATTTAAATTTTCATCATGGGCCACATCAGCATTATGGTTGCCCTCAAAGGACCAGTTGTATCTGTAAGACTAGATGTCCAGAGCACCCCACCCCCCCCCCCCTTACATCAGATGTCAAGAGCGCCCCTTCCACTATCAGAAGTCAAGAGTCCCCCACCTCTCCTAAATCACAGTGCACCCCCCTTACCGTGTGCTGCTGCTGGGAGGCAGAAAGTGCTGTATCTGGTGGAGGACGAAAAGAGGGCTGGAGTCCACTGCTTGAGTCTGCTGAATGCTGAGACCAGGAGAGGTGGAGACAAGGGGGCTGCTGCGACTGCACAGAGAGGCACAGGATCTGATTGAGGAGTTCTGTCGTCGTCCTGCCAACTGTTGAGACAAAGTGGGGGCAGAGATGAGATGGGTACTAAATAAATCAATCGAAAAAGCGCCACACTGTATAACAATAATAAACTGTGTGTTAGCAGCAAAACCCAACCAAAAATTTTTTAAAATATACGAAATTCATTTGGCAAAGTGAGCAATATCTAATAAGGGCATGCGCTGAATAAAAATATATATCACCATATAATTAAGTGTCCATAATAAATCTGTGTAAGTCCAAAACAAACTCAAAATATCCTCTCTGAATTCATGACACTGTGAATAATCCACCACCAAATGAATTAGATGGACTCGCCAGAGCTAAATGCTGAACAAATTATAGACCAGCAATAGCGCTTGTGCTCTGGGAGCGATGGGTAAACGATATCCAGGTATTAGATGTAGTAATTTTCAATAATAATCACGTCCAGATGATCAATAATGGTAATTGGCATAAAGGACAGCATATAACTACCAGAAGCAATGCTCTGCAGCCAAAGATCTCATGATGAATCGCCCCTTGATGACGTTGTGACGAAACGTGTTGGGCGTGGCCTACTCGATGTTGACGTCAGGACGCCCTTTTCCCAGTGTTTGTCGGAGGTGATCCGTGGTGAGTAGGGACCGTCCACTACTTCAGTGCTGTACATTGCTGGTTAAGCTGTTGTCTGTCTGGACACATCTTTTGTGAGTTGTTTGGTATTTTAATAAATATATAGGTGTTTTAAACGTACTGCACCATTATGTCTTTTCCTTTGTCCCTGAGTGTGACTCATGCATATATGGAGATACGGAGTTAATGGAGAGATTCATCGTGAGATCTTTGGCTGCAGAGCATTGCTTCTGGTAGTGATATGCTGTCCTTTATGCCGATTACCATTATTGATCATCTGTACGTGATTATTATTGAAAATTACTACATCTAATACCTGGATATCGTTCACCCATCGCTCCCAGAGCACAAGCGCCATTGCTGGTCTATAATTTGATCAGCATTTAGCTCTGGTGAGTCCATCTAATTCATTTGGTGGATTATTCACAGTGTTATGAATTCAGAGAGGATATTTTGAGTTTGTTTTGGACTTGCACAGATTTATTATGGACACTTAATTATATGGTGATATATATTTTTATTCAGCGCATGCCCTTATTAGATAGAGATGAGATGGGTGCCTCAGCTGCAAGAGAGGTGCGAGGGCCACATGAAATAGCCTGGCGGGCCAGATTCGGCCCACAGGCTTTGTGTTTGACACATGTGGTCTAGAGGACTGACTACTCTATTGTGACTTTAGTGGTTTGATGGATTTGTGTTTATTGATTAGGTTTACTGCAAGTGTAACTGAAACTGGCTCTGTACCACGTGGTAGCTGTGACTAATCACAGCATCACAAAAAGTAAACAAAGGCTGCAGCTTGAAGCCAGCTCTATTTCCTCTTGCATACTGATCGACTGTAAAAGGAAACAGAGAGTTACATCCAGATTGGCAGCTGCAACACTACCAGTGTTACCAGGTATTAATGCAACCTAACGCCAGTGTTATTATCACCAGCCACACTCAGTGTCTCCTGGTACAAGTGCAAGCCAACATTGCTGCCCTGATTGCCACCAGTACCAGTGTCCCCTAATACCAGTGTAAGCTAGCACCAGGGTCCATATCACCAGCCACTCCAGTCTCAATATCCTCTAGTACACCAGCCATGCCAGTACCAGTATTGCCTACTACCAATGTAATCCAGCACCAAAAAAAGTATACCTATGAGGTGGTGTTTGCAATTCTTAGTATGACTCATAAGAGCAGCAGAGAGATTTCAAAGTCAGGTTCAGATTCATAATATGAACCTTTTAGAAAGCAGATGTTCACTAATTGCCACCTCTGATTCTGCAGACAGGATTCCTGCTGAAAGATTCAGGTGTACTGTCGCCAACCATTGGGGTGACAACTCTCCAAAATGTGGTTATTTTGTGGGTGTTTCTACTGTCCAGGCATTCCAGGGCCTCCAAAAATGTGATAGGTAGTTAGGAAATCAGATGCTTAATTTATGCTTTTTGAAAGTCTGAAGGTGCTCCTTGGATTTGGGCCCCTCATTGTGGCTAGGCTGCATAAAAAGTCTCACCCATGTGATGTGTGAGCATTGAGAGGAGTAGCAGAATGAATTTTTGGGGTATAATTCTACATTTGCCCATGCTGTTTCTCAGAAATAACATTAGACAGCTTTGTGAAAAAAAGCAAGTTTCATAGACTTTCTTCATTTTTCAAAAGCCTTGGGCAAGAAATTAGAACTCACCATGTCTCTTACAAAACATCCTGAGGTGTTTGCTTTCCAAAAAGGGGACATGACATTTTAGGGCTTCAAGAAATAAGATATGCAGTCAGAACATGAGGGATTATAAATTTCAAATATACAGCATATACCTTTGTTTGTAGACTCGCTAATTTGGGTTATTTTTACAAAAAAAATGTAACAATACATTTGTCCTAAATAATTTTTTGCCCAAATTAAGAGTGATTATTTGCTATGTTGTTTAAAAGAAACTAAGGGTAACAGGTTTTTTTTCAAAGATTTTGATGTATTTATATACAGCAAAAAATGTAAAGCCCAGTGATGATTAATTGCTACCAAATTAAATCTGTCTTTCTCAAAAAGATATAATCATTTGTGTACAGTGTTGCAAGACAGAGTTGTCAGTCAAACTATCAAAGTACTAAAACCTGAAAAATGGCCTGAAAAGGAAGGGTGTTTAACATGCTGTTTCTTGATTGGTTAAAGAATAATTCTAGTAAGATTTTTTTTTTTTTTTTTTTTTCGTTTTTGTGGATAAAGTGGGTAAATGTTGGAATATCTGATTTTCTCCGATTAGGAGAGAACCTACATCACTATCTGTCTCTGTGACGATTTTCACTGAAACGGAAAATTATAGGAAATCTTAAGGGACACAGGCACCAATAAAATGCCTTACTTAGTACTGTGGGAACATGCAAGGACCTTTTTAGGTTTTTATGGTCATTGTCTGTATCCCAGTTAAAGCAATTTCTTCTCGTTTTCACTGGTAACTTTGACCAGAAGTAAAGGGAAATCCCCCAAGAAGCTACCCTGCAATAAAACCTAGCAGGGCTGCTAGCATTTTCCTATCTATCCAAAATTGAAACGTAGCATTTGGCTTAAATTACACTTTAAAGCTGTATTAAATCCGATGCCAAAATGTAATATATTGCAGCTTACCAATCATTAGATTTTTTTTTTTTTTTAAGGCTTTTTTTCCCCTCTGTTTTTACCTGGTGATCTGGCCAGTAAAGCTGACCATAAATGGGACTGGCTGAATTTCGATTTGTGTATGGGCAGGCTGATTGTACACAAGTCGATCTGTTGATCATCTTGTGTACAAACAGACTGTCGGGTTTTTCCTGAACAATCCGTGCCACCGCAGCCATCACATCTAAGAATTAGTAAGCTGCTATGTAATGTTTGCTTTTGGGTTTAATACTGCTTTAAATATCCAAATGGGTTACCACTATAATTTGTGTTCTGCTTGGTTGCTTCCAAGCTGAAACCCATGCTGGCTTTTTTTTCTGCCTTGGGAACTGCAGTTTCGGGCTATCTTCACTAGAATTTCTATTGAAAGTCTATGTGAAACATTTTACATTCCCTTGATAGCTTTTCTGAATGAAATATGTAAGTGGAAAATCCAGGTTTTAGGGAGTGACATGGCCACCTTAGTTCTGGCCTTCTTGAGGTGTTTAAAGACCTAAACCACCTGAGGACCATCTGCTTGGGAGGAAGTAGATTTCCATAGTTATGGTGAACAGCTTGCCATATTTTCCCTGTGTTCTGCCCATTGCATGCATTGCTGTGTACAGAGGTAAACCTGTTGAGATGTTGAGAATTTGATGGTCTTAAATGTCTTTTATAATCTGTGTAACCTGTCCTCTTACCTGTTGTCTGCATGATTATTTCTCTCTTATTGCCTCCGTCCTGTCCATCGCTTCCTCATGCACACAGGAGATTCAGGATGAACACAATGGCTATCATTCAGAAACGGAGGCCGAGCAGGTGGCAAGTTCAACCCCTCTATTTTATATCTGTTAGTGCATGCTTGTAGATTTAGACCCATGTTAATGCAGCCTACCCATTTTACCTCTCCATATTATGTCAGTTCACACGTCATCATCATCATCAGTGTAAATAATGGCTTCAGGCTGATTGTTGTGCTTTGCCAGCTGGGAATGTTCTCCAGAATGCAGAATTTATATTTCAGACTTTCATTTAAAATGACAAAATAAAATAATCCTGTTATAAATGAAATATGGCAGTGGCCCTACCTATTATCTATCTTCAAGACTTGGCAAGATGATGTATGCAGCCAGTAAAGCTCCCATTGGCATTTATTTGGAGTTACTGTTTTGTGATCCACTAATTGGTGACTACGTATGATGATAGCTAGGGCAACTCTCCACTTTTTTAAATGTAAATGATAGTAACAGATTTATATCATGATAGGTTTACTTTAAATACTATAGGGTGTAAATGTATTTATACTCTAGAGCAGTTACAAAGTCAGGATTGGCCTTTTCCAGGTGCTTCTTTTCCTCCCCTCAGTGTATTGCAGGGGTCTGCAAACTTTATAAACAAAACGCCTGTTGGCTGTCCTTCAGACTTTAGGGAGGCCAGAGTGGCCACTGGGAGTAGAAAATGCACAGCGTCAGTGGGAGTAAAAAAAAATACATAGTGCCCATAGTCAGTAGAATGAGGAATAGTGCCCCTTCATTGGTATTAGTGGGAGGAGTAGTGCCCCATCATTGGTATTAATTGGAGAAATGTTGCCTAATTGTTTATATTAGCGACCCATTCTGACCCATTGCTGGTGTCAGTGGGAGGAATAGTGCCCCATCATTGGTGCCAGTGGAGGGGAATTTGCCCAATTTTTGGTGTCGGTGGGAGTAATAGTGCCCCAAGGGCCTGATACTGTTTGGAGTCCACTGATGTATAAGAATATTTACAGGTACCACCAAATCCACCCAGTTGTTGGTTCGTTTACATTAAGAACAATACATTGTAAGCTCCTTCAGGGTCAAGGACTGAAATAATTTATAAAGTGCTGCGGAATTTATCGTCACTCTATGAACAACTTTTTCATACATTAAGGGTTCTATTAACATTGTCACACAACTTTCACCCATTGAATTCAGTTAGAAAATGTGTGAATCCTGGGTGGGGTGCAAGCTGTGTGAATCATGACTGTAAGCATTTATAAATATACTCCAAGGTCACCCAAGTGCATGGATTTATTTTGTATTTGTCATTGGAATCACTTGATATGCCATCCTAAACATGAACAGAAACATAAATTTACCTAAACCCAATTAGGGTTCAGATCACTGTGTTCACATTTTTTGCCCCGCTGGAATAGACTGGAAAGTGTTTGATGATGCAGTTATGTTGTAGCAGCTGTGCTACATGGTTACTACATCAACGTATAAATAATTGCATGTGCCGTTTAAAACCTGGTTGGCAGTGTTGGAAAGCACTATGTTCCTTTATCAAAAGACACCTAGTTTGGGGGACATCATAGTTGACCTCCTTCCAGTTGCCAGTTGTCAAGCTCTGCCTTCAGTGCTTGTTGACTAGCTGACCCAGTACAATTTTGCAACCAGTGAAATCAAAATGTTTCATCTACAACAGGGGTGTCCAACCTTTTCACCTTCCTGGGCCACATTGGAAAAAGAGGAACTGTCTTGGCCTGCATTTGCTCGGGTACAGCCGCCCATTCATTTGAAGTGGCATTTACTTGCCTGGCGATATGTAGAATCCATGCTTTAGTTGTTTTACAAAGACTGCATCCCTTTAGCTGCGTTCATTCCTGCATTTTCTGTGTCGCTGTATCTTCTATGCAAATAGGTATACACGGCATCCCCTGCAACCTTCTATACATGCTAGTTGCCATGGCTTTTCTTGCAGAGCGGTCCTTCCAGACATGCCGCATACTGAACTCTCCCAGGCCGTGGGTTGGACGCCCCTGATCTCTACATACCTATTCCAGGTCAAAAAAGCATTGTAGCCTGGTAGTCCACAACACGTGTGGGAAGCTAAATGTTTCTTTTACAATAATTTTTTATTGGTTTAGTTAAAAATTACAAATGTTCATTTGAAACACTTGAAGCCCAATGTCTAGCAGCAAAAAGTTCAGTCGTGGGAGTCTCCATGTTTCTCTAATTTTTTAACCACCTCCCGTCCGTCCATTGTTTATAAACGGACGTTTATAAATGGCCTCTCCGCCCCCTGCTTGTGCGCGCTCCCCGCAATCCGGTGCACGCTGTGTCCTCCGGACACAGTGGAACACCGATCGTCGTATGGGACCTCTGTGTGAGGTCCCGATCATGTTATCACTAATTGGCCAATCAGTGATCACATGGAGAGTAGTAAGCAAGATGTCACTTCTGACATTTCGTACTACGTGTGAAATCTGTGAATGATCACAGAGGTCACATGATACAAGGCTATTCACAACAACCTTGTACCATGTGACAAGCTGTGACCAATCACAGCTCACACAGTATGCAGTCAGAGAGAAGGATAAATGATTGCTTTTACAGCCTTTATGGGTGTACAAGCAATCCGTGGAAAAAAAAAAAAAAAATCTTCATCACCCCCCACAAGTAGTACAGTGTCACCATGGTGACACTGTACTGCTAGGGTGACAGTATGTAAAAAATATTTTTAAAAATATAATTTTTGGTTATAAACTAATTTGTGGTGTTTTTCGTTTTTTTGTTTTTTTTTTTTTACTAAAAAGATAATTGAATTCATTTTGGCCAAGATTTATGATTAAATATTATTTATTTGCAAAATTTTATAAGAAAAACACTTTTTTCCAAATTTTTGGACATTTTCATTTATATAGCAAAAAAAAGGCCAGTAGTGAATAAATACCACTAAAATAAAGCATTATCTGTCTCAAAAAAATGCTAAAAAATTCATATGGGTACAGTCTTGCATGACCGCGCAATTGTCATTCAAAGTGTGACAGCGCTGAAAGCTGAAAATTGGCCTGGACAGGAAGGGGGTAAAAGTGTCTGGACTTGAAGTGGTTAAAGAATGTTAGCAGGTGATGCCATGTACAGCCAGGTTTTAGTAAAACTAATAAAAGATGAAATCTACATGGAGATGTTCAGTGCGATCAGTAGATCAATGTGTGGTCCTCGCAGTCTTTTTGGGTAGAGTATCCATGGCCCACTTCCATTGTGTGACTGTCACTGAACCTGCTGCTTGGATTCTGTGGTGGGAGAAGTATAAACAGCTGACCCAATGCTTACTGCTGCATGCTCTAAACTGAACCATTGATGGCAATGAAACATTCTGTCGTCATTTCCTATTGCCTTGGTAAGCTGGATGACACTCAACCCATAAATGGCTGACCTTTTTTAGGTAAAAGACAGGTACATATTAAACAAAGAAAGTCTTGTGTAGAGCTGCACAATCCAGATGGTGCAGATCCTTGATTAATATGGTACATATTAAAAACATCTGTAATATTTTCCTAATTGTGTGTGAACACTTTCCTTGTCAGCTATGACAAGCATCACCTGATGACATCAGTATTTTTTATGAAATTTATTCTTGCCTGGTACTGCTGACTGTTTCCTCTGGATCAACATAGTAAATTTTTCTAGAAGACTAATGAAATAGACCGTTGGTTAAAGCAGCTTGATTTATGACTTGGTATGTTTTTCCTTACAGTGCTTTATTATTTATAATAAAAAAAAATAAAACCCATGCCTGCCAGGCAGCCTTTTCCCAGTATGATATGTCTACTTGGGCTTATTCCTGTTTTTTTCTCACAGCTGAAACATGCTGAGTAGAGCCAATTGATGTGTGTGATATTGATTTGAGCATTTGGCTTTTCCCAATAGAAACGGCTAGATATCCATATGTTTTTTACTCCACAGAAAGAACCCTGTGCTAGCCATAAAGATCGTACTAAATAAATAATGAATAATAAGTGAATGTGTCGCCACTAGCAACAGTCATGTTTAAACTTTATCAGAATTGTATAATACAGTAAAGTACTAGGCAACGAGGCAATACAAATATATATGTGCAAAAATAACTATCTGTGCGTGCAAGCAGTTATAATAAATATAACAACAGTGATGAATGAATAAATCAGATAAATGTGAGTATAAAATCTTTAATAACTGATCCACTCTTGGAACAAATCTTCAATACTGTGCTTCAGGTAGTTATAAATTCCCACATGCGTGTTCACCATACGTGCTGCAGCGTAAGAATGCCCGTGTAAGTCACCAGTGCGTACCACCACCTCTCGCTGCTACTGCCTACCTCAAATCTTGACCCACAATAAGGTAAGGTCAAGACGGGCTTTCCCAGTTATCTGGGCCAGAACGCTCCGCACGTCAAAACAAGGGTAAACCATAAAAGTCTCATATACTTGATGTCTCAAGAAGCAAGCCATTCAGCAAGAAAGGGAAAACAACCTCTCATAGTGTAGGAAAGAGACTCAATGTGTTATTAGCACAAGCAACGATTAAAATGCTACTCACAAGATCAGTGTAAAAGTACTCAAAGAAAATATCCTTTTAGAAATTCCATGAAAATTACCCTCTTAAGGATAAACATCCCTCTAAGAAAAACACAGGTAAATTGGCCAACCTCGGAATTTCGGTGTGATGTCACTTAGCCCCGCTCCTTGGGATGCCGGAAGTCTGAGGTTGGCCATTTTACCATTTACAGAACTCTAATAACATATTGTATACTGCTAAAATGAGCAGCGATGGACAGTAAAACGATCTCTTAATTTTTTAAGAGCAGTAAATTGTCCAATGCACGATAAATACACAGTACTGTCAAATACTGTGCTCACTCCCGATCAGCAGTACAGTTAAGCACAAGGAAAGCCATCTTGTATCATGGGAATTTAGTTGCTTGCACTTGGTTCAGATCTGCTGAGCTGTGATAGGAGTGGTCATACACAGGAGCTAATGTGCACTTCTTACTTGGGTCTTGGTAGTTGAATAAGTGTGGAGTACAGGGTG